TTTTTAAATTAACAATCATTTGGATTACAAATATTTAGAGGGGGCTGACCAAAATCTATCCTGTGACTTCAAATTGTGATTTGGAACCATTTTATTTGGCAAAGAATACTGAATATATGGTCCGGAGACTAGTGCCACCAATTCTCACCTCCTGCACAGTCTTTGGCCTGTTACAGACTGAGGACAATGCAACTCATGGGGGTAAGATACTTCTGACCATTCCCTTTGACTGAGACAGAGAGGGCAGGGTGCAGCCTCCATAAATTCTTTACCTTTCAGTCCTTATTCTTAGAGAAGAATGTATACGATTTATTAAAAAACAAAAAATATATGGAATTAAAACCTAAACGTAAAACAGTTTGCTTTACATATGCTGATTTATGCTTAGCATCATAGAATCATAGAATATCAGGGTTGGAAGGGACCTCAGGAGGTCATCTAGTCCAACCCCCTGCTCAAAGCAGGACCAACACCAACTAAATCATCCCAGCCAGGGCTTTGTCAAGCCTGACCTTAAAAACCTCTAAGGAAGGAGATTCCACCACCTCCCTAGGTAACCCATTCCAGTGCTTCACCACCCTCCTAGTGAAAAAGTTTCTCCTAATATCCAACCTAAACCTCCCCCACTGCAACTTGAGATCATTACTCTTTGTTCTGTCATCGGGTACCACTGAGAACAGTCTAGATCCATCATCTTTGGAACCCCTTTCAGACAGTTGAAAGCAGCTATCAAATCCCCCCTCATTCTTCTCTTCTGCAGACTAAACAATCCCAGTTCCCTCAGCCTCTCCTCATAAGTCATGTGTTCCAGCCCCCTAATCATTTTTGTTGCCTTCCCCTGGACTCTTTCCAATTTTTCCACATCCTTCTTGTAGTGTGGGGCCCAAAACTGGACACAGTACTCCAGATGAGGCTCACCAATGTCAAATAGAGAGGAATGATCACGTCCCTCAATCTGCTGGCAATGCTCCTACTTATACAGCCCAAAATGCCGTTAGCCTTCTTGGCAACAAGGGCACACTGTCAACTCATATCCAGCTTCTCATCCACTGTAACCCCTAGGTCCTTTTCTGCAGAACTGCTGCCTAGCCACTCGGTCCCTAGTCTGTAGCAGTGCATGGGATTCTTCCGTCCTAAATGCAGGACTCTGCACTTGTCCTTGTTGAACCTCACCAGATTTTTTCTGGCCCAATCCTCTAATTTGTCTATGTCCCTCTGTATGCTATCCCTACCCTCCAATATATCTACCACTCCTCCCAGTTTAGTGTCATCTGCAAACTTGCTGAGGGTGCAGTCCACACCATCCTCCAGATCATTAATGAAGATATTGAACAAAACCAGCCCCAGGACCGACCCTTGGGGCACTCCGCTTGATACCGGCTGCCAACATGGAGCCATTGATCACTACCCGTTGAGCCCAACAATCTAGCAAGCTTTCTATCCACCTTATAATCCATTTATCCAGCCCATACTTCTTTAACTTGTTGGCAAGAATTCTGTGGGAGACCGTATCAAAACCTTTGCTAAAGTCAAGGAATAACACATCCACTGCTTTCCCCTCATCCACAGAGCCAGTTAGCTCGTCATAGAAGGCAATTAGGTTAGTCAGGCATGACTTGCCCTTGATGAATCCATGCTGACTGTTCCTGATCACTTTCCTTCCTCTAAGTGCTTCAGAATTGATTCCTTGAGGACTACATACTAGCATCTGCTACACTAGATAAACACTCTCAGTTTAGTTACCGAGAGGGGAACAGCATTCGTCCTCTCTCTGGATCATTCTTTGGTTAGTCTGTTAACATCACTTGCATTCTAGAGAGAGATTCTTTGCTGTTTCCAGAGCTCTCTCTTATCAACTCCCTTCAGCTAAATCAACATAGTTGTCCAGACAAACCTCACTTGATCTAGGGCAGCCATCCCCTTTTCCAAAACAGTTTCTCCAGTTACTCATGCATATCTAATAAGGTTTAGGGGGAATGGGTATACGCTGAGGAGTAGGCCACTGAGTATACAAAAATCCTTTAATGAGGATTAAGAGCCACCTTTCAAAGGCTTAGAGACCAAGCTCAGAGACTATATTTCACAGACCAGTCTGAATATTTCCACTCGAGACAGTTTCTGTGCAGTCCTTTCAAGTAGGCAGGTTGGCATTTTCCTCAATATTAAAACCCTCCCTCCCATAATTTTCTGTTATTTTGAACTATGAACTAGGGACACAGGTCCAGACCTTCTGTCACAGCCCCAACCAGAAACACTGAGGAATTTCTAACTGAGGAAGTTCTGGTATACCCAGGAGTTGCCAGTGCCCAGATTAAAGGTTAGCTGAGTCCAGTACTCTCAAAAGGAAGGTCAGTTTACAGCTTTATCATATGGCCTGTGGGCAATAAGCAGCTGCATTTTCTAACCTGAGTTGTAATGCATAAATTGCCATGGATTTACTGGTGCTCTGCAGAACACTTGTCCAAAACACCGCCACTAGTGCTTTCTCAGAACTGGTATCTTCTTACTGGTCAGGCCAGTGGCTCCCACTCACTCTCCATATAGTTTTGGTGGCATTTCCCTTTCTGTCCATAGGGAAAAAGAAGCAAAAAGAAGAACAATGCTCCTTGCACTCACTTCCCATTGGTTGTGGGAAGGAAAAAAATTTCTCTCTTCCACAAGTTGCTGTTGGGGGCAGAGGAAGTTCCTGGAAACTCCAGATGAACCCCCAAAGGGAGGTGGGAGATAATATTTGGGTGCCCCTTCCTGTATGAGAGCAAAGGGGAAGAGATGGAATGGGTAAATGTGATTGCAAAAGGAACTGGTGAAATGGTTTATTATTATCTATTTGGATTGGAAGGTCAGAGAGATGAACAATGTGCCCTAACTTAGTGATCTGGGCTCTTACGAAAATGTGATTCCTTATTTTGGATCCTAAATAGGAGCAGAAATCCTTTAAAAATCTGATTTTGATTGTAGGCATGGAACTTTTTGAACACATAGCCCATAGTGACCAGTAGACTAACAGTCTCTAATGGACGTGTGTCTTATTTAGCAGTTGCCCCTGTTCCACAGCAGCCCACAACAGAGGTAGCAGCTTTCCAAAGGGCCCATGACTGAGGTATGTTGCTGAAGAGGTGAGTGGAGGATCACACAATGGGCAAATTTAATTTTACTGCCTCTCAAAGCAACTCCATTTTCTTGTGGAGCTTTGCAAGTATCTTTTCCTTTGTGCGGAGAATTTGAGGAGGATGGCTAATAGGCAACCCCCTCAAAGTCCTACCATTTGTCTTCAATACTTTACCAATTTCTTCTTGGCTAATTGCCTCAGGCTCCCCTCCCAGCACGTCTAATCACTTTGTTTAAAGGTGAAGGGAAAAGAGTATAGCTTGAACCCCTGTAAGGGTTCAATAAATCCAGACAAACTCACACTAGCTCACATACTAAAAGAAGCAGAGGGGATATTGCAGCACTGGCAACAGCTTGGGCTAGCCACCCAAGTCCAAGGCATCCCGCTACCCCCAAGTCCAAGCATGGTCAGCTAGCCTGAGGTTCTGCGGATCTGGATATCCACGGACCATGTTTGCAGATTGCAGATGGATACAGATCCAAATTTCATCTCTGGAGCCCTGCAAATCGGCGGATATCCATGTTATATCCACAGATATCCGCGGGCCATGTTTGTGGATTGCAGATTGGATGCGGATAAAAATTTTGCATCTCCCCAGGGCTCTAGTGCTGGCAATCACACCTCCCAGCTGCAATGTATACAGCAGTGGAAACCCATAAAAAGTTTTAGTTGATCTCAAATCCTCCAAGCATGGCTACTATTATGCATAATGTTAACATTTAATTTCTGTGGGGTATTTGGGGGAAGAAGGGGTGCTGACCTACAATTTCAAATCAGATGCTTAAAAAACAAATATGGGTTTCAATTAACATAGGTTGAAATTATCATAGGTGATCCCTGAAAAATATGCTGACCTTTGCACTTCTGTAAATCTTTGGGGCAGGGGGGAGCGGGCAGGGGAAGGGAAGAGATAATGCATCGGAAGTACTGAATCCGGTTCAGTGTTCCTTAAGGAAATTCTTTGTTCAGGATGTTTTTAGAAAAAAACAGTCTACAACTGTATTTGTCCTTTGAATATTTCAGGATTTGATTTCAGTTGCACCAGCGGCTGAGTAAATTACACTGAAAGCAGAAAGCTTTGTTTCAAGTGTAGCCACACAGAAGCTCCCTTGATATACTCCAAGCGTACATAAACATAGAAAATACCAACAAACCACCACAAAGACCAAATTATTACAGCGAATTACAGAAAATGCATTAACCATGGAACAAGTACTAGGCAAGTCAGTGTTGCCTGAAGATATTGTTACACAAGCAGTAAGAATGACAAAAGAAAGCCAAACATTTTAACATCTTTAGTGGTCTTCCAGCCAAAAATGAGACTTCAAAAGTAGCCTACTTTTTACATTACTTATTCAGCAGTATGCAGCATGACATAATTGTTAAGCACCATGTCTCCAGCTAATGTTACTTGATAGCTTACTAAGGCTTTGTTAAACATTCGGATTTGCATGCTATTATCAACAATGCCGTAAACGTAGAGATTTCTGTAATATCCTTCCTGCTGCCATTAAACTGTTAACACTATATTTTTTCTTGTTTGATTTGTCAATTGACAATTAGAAGGCATCACATTTTGTCTTCCCCTGCCTGCCCTGAACACATTGCTGATGCTGCAGTGCAGTGCTGCACTGCTAAGGATGCTGTCCTTCGGATGACATAACAACGCAAAATCTCTTTTGCCCATTGAGGTACAAAGAAAGAGTAGAAACTAATCCCTGTTTCCTGGCCAAAAGACTCTCTCTCAATAAAGCAAGTTATACCAGCTAAGCCTGTGTGTCAACTATTACTGAATACTTAGTAGCTGCCACGTTTACAGCTCACCTGCTCTATCAGTTTCTAACTCATTACTGTAAAGTGCTTCAAGATACCCAGAGTATGAAAACCTTACCTTGATGGCTTTTGCCTCTCCTGCTACCGTCCCATCTTCCTCCTCGCCTTTACATCCAAGCGCTGAGTGTGCTGGCTATGCCTGCTTCCTCAGTGTTCTCTTCTCTAACTTGCTCTCCCCTGGATCCTCTGCAATCTGGCTTCAGCCCACTCCACTCTACTCTACTGAGACCACTCTGACTAAAGGTCATTACTGATCTGCTTCCAGCCAAGTCCAAGGGCCTCTTTTCACTCCTCAGACTCCTTACTCCATCTTCTGCCTTTGGCAGAGTCAACCACTCCCTCCTCCTTGCACTTGATTGGTTCTCCTGCCTTTTGAATTGTTCTTTCACCATTTCCCTCAGTGAATCGTCCTCCCTTCGTCTCCCAAATCCCCTCACTTTCCCTTGGAGATCTGTCTTTTTCCTTCAGCACCCAACCCATCCTCTTCTGTTCTTATTGTGTTGTTTTTACTATTTCATAAGCACCCTTATGCAGGGGGTGCTATACAGGACAGTCCCTGCCCAGAGTAGTCTACACTCTACAGGAAGTCACAGAGGTGAGACACACTGAAAAAACAAGAGGAAAAAAAATCTCCTCTTGTATAATATAGAGTTTTGGTGAGGGTGACACAGATTAGTGCTTATGGACCCAGGGGGGCCTGATTCATTGGGACTGGGAGATTTTTCTATGCATAAAGAACATGGAGAAAGGTACAAAGACAGGAATAGGAGAAAAGTTGAAGCAAGCAGTGAGCTGATGTTGCTAAAAGAATGAAGAGGTGAGAGGGCAGCAGAAAGAAACCAGATCCAAGAAGGAGACAGAGGTAGGTTTGTGCAGGGCCTTGAAGGCCTGGGTGGGAAATTTTAACTTGATACAGAGGGCAACTTGGAATGACATGGTCTAATCAACATGCAAGGAAGGTAATTTTAGCAGCTGCATTTTGAAAGGAAAAAACAGTTAGAAGAAGGAGAATCAAATGAGAAGGGCAACAAAAGCCAAGGAAGGACAATGTGAAGAAAGAACCATCTCTATTAATTATTAATTTAAATTGCATTCAAAAGCACCATTGGGATTGAGGACCCATTGTAGCAGAGATTGTACAAACTCAAAAGAAAACTCAGTCCCTGCCCTGAAGAGTTTACAATCTCAGAAACAAACCAATAATTGTAAATACAAGTTCTGGGTACCTTAATAAGATCACTAGGAACCCCTGTTCAGTCCTATATTGGCAACTGAATACCCAACATCTCTTCCTTCATGGCCAGCTGCCAACTCATGCATAACATGGTGAAAATTAATTTCTTATCTGTTCACTTCCCCTGAAGTCTTCCTTCTCTATCACTATCAATTATTCCACCACCCTCCCAACCTGGGGACATCTCAGTCTTTTCTATCATCTTTTTCTGCCCCAGCATCTATACTGTTATTAAATCCTGTTGGTTCTTCCTTTATAATACTGTACCTCCAAAAATCTGCCCCTTTCTAGTCATCCCCACCATCAAAGCCTCACTCCATGCCTTGATCATATCATCTTGGCTACTGCAACCACTTCCTCTCTGGCCTCTCCTGTTCTCACTTGCATTGCTCATGTCTATCCAACATGTTGCGACTGAAGTCATCTTCCTTTCCTCCAGCCCCAATCGTGTTACCCCCTCCTCTTGCATGGACTTCTAGGCACGTTCCACACCACGTTCCAGCAAGATGCATGCATAATGAGCACATCTCATCTTTCACCATCATACCACTTATTCTGCCATACCATCTCTGGGATCTTTTGTTAACTATCATACTTCACTGTAGTCTGTCTGATTTAAATGGTAAGTTCCTCAGGGCAGGAACCTGTCTTTTTTTTTTTGGCCTTTAAAAAGGGCCATGAGCTCTTACTGCATAAAAAAATCCCTAAATCAAGTTACATATTTTTCTTTAATATCACACAGATCAGTTTGATAAAATTTAGCACTAAATAACCAACATTTCAATACGGGAGGCATTCAAAACTGTATTATATTTCCTCGTTCAGTTAGTGCAATAGCACATGCAAATCATGCATTTACACATGCAAATACGTATTTAGCCATCTAAACGTGCACCCTATTCAAAGCAGTTATACACACAAATGAAGCCTCACAACTGTGCTCCTAGAGCGCTAGTCTCCTTTTTTTTCAAAACTTGGCCTATCAATGCACCAATACCAGGTATTTGTTGCAGTATAATCAGAGATGCTTTAGACACAGTGTAACTGCATTATTAACTGTCCAAATTCATTTAGGTTTGTTTTTTTTTAAATTCTACATATTTCTTCCTTCAAAATGCTCCATCAGTACCCAAATATAAGAACTATTAATGAAGTGCTCCAGACACGAGTAGAAGATAGAATTCATAGGTTGTGCGCTAGTTTAAGTTGTTTAAATGTACAAAATATTTTAATGCTGAGCCAAGGAGACTATATCCTTGGATCAAGTTTCTACGTGGCAAAGTTCAATGCTTTTGTAGATACCTGGTCTTTTCCTTCTCACCAATTATGGGATGTATATTTGTTGTTCAACTGCAGCTCCTGACCTTGTGTCTCCCTCTACCCCGAGTCCTGCCCAGATCCTCCCAGTGGTGCAGCCCGGCCACTTTCCTCCCCTCTCTGGGACAACCCAATGTGGCTTCCTGACCTGGGGAGCTGCTACAAGCACCAGGGAGCCTTTCCTATCCTGGTGTCTCCACACTTACCTTCACAGCATTTTTCAAATGCGCCCCACCAAATCTTGTCCATCTGCCACTCCCCCATGGCTCTTCCCACACCCTCTGTCTGTATCCTAACACCTGTGCTCTTTCTTCCCCCTCACTGGCTCCATTTCCCCCTCCTTGTCACCTTTTACACTTCTCACCAGCTCTCAACTCCTGTCATCTACCATCCACCCAACTCCTTCCCATCCGGCTTCCTCTCTGATTTTGACTCCTGTCTTTCTCTCTCTCCTCAATCTCCCACAGTCATCCTCCAACCCCTCACTCTCAACTCCTTCTTTAACCTGCAGGCCTGGTTCAACTCTCCCAGTCACCAAAAAGGACCATTCATTTGACTTGAGCTTCACCAAGCACTGCTCTCTGATCCCTTCTTACTGAGTTCCACTCTCGGCCATCATCTGGGCTCTTTCAGCATCGCCCATCAACCCTCCTCCCCACACCCTGTCACTTGGCCTTTCCATAACTTCCAGTTCATCAACACTGATGATGTCCCATCTGATCTCAGTCATCTCACACCTCTCTTTGCATCCCTCCACTGGCTCCTCCTTTTCTGTCTTGTTAAACATAAAAGATACTTGTCTTTACTTTCAAGGCCTTTCCTTCATGGCCTATTCCCACCCTCCCTATCATCTTATTCGCTAGTAAGGTGTCAACCTCTGCGTCCCATAGGCCCATGATGAGAGCCTCCATCACCCATTTGTTACATTTTCAAACAATCACCTTTGTGCTTTCTCCCATGCTGCCCTCATGCTTGGGAAGACTGCCCCATAAGCCTCTGCAAAGCTACCTCATTATTCTCTTTCAAAACTCTCATTGGAATTCTGCTGTTCTTTGATTCCTACAAAAAAACTTAACAGCTAGGCAGCTGAGATCACAACCTATCATAATGACTGATATTGTTCCCTTTGTTTCCTGGTACTCCATTTATCTGCATCCATCCATGGTGTCATCTTAGTTTATAAACTCTCTAGGGTAGGAACGGTCTTTTTCTTCTGTGTTTGTACAGGGCCCAGCGCAATGGGGTCTTGGTTCATGACTGAGGCTGCTAGGCAGTATGGTAATACAAACAACAGTAAATATTTGAAGATGAAACATTTCTGATGATGGAAAATGTTATCATACTGAACAAGAAAAGCACAAGCCAGCTCTGTGATGATGCAAAATTGCTCACTAACACCACGGAATCACGTATGTGTCCTTTAGGCAGATTAAACCATTCACAGTCACAGAACTTCTGGTAAGGTGCTGCTCTCCCCACCTGGGACCTCTCAGTGGCTGTCTTATTTTTCTGGGAGGAGGGATAGCTCAGTGGTTTGAGCATTGGCCTACTAAACCCAGGGTTATGAGCTCAATCATTGAGGGGGCCATTTAGGGATCTGGGGCAAAAATCTATCTGGGGCTTGGTTCCGCTCTGAGCAGGGGGGCTGGAGTAGATGACCTCATGAGGTCCCTTACAAACCTGATAGTCTATGATTCTATGAACCCTTTAGGATAGGCAGCCCCACATGATTACTGTTTCTGACAAGATCAGCTTTCCTTAGTGGGGACTACCTATGCATGCAGTAATATTGCACTGAGCCTTTTGGCCAGGTACTGTTGTTAATGAAACTGAAGAGGGATTCAGGTTCTGATTTAACACTAACACATTCAGATGAAAGACCTTTGGGGCAAATAGTGTGACCACAGTATTTATCTACTTTCTAGGATGTGTTGTACAGTAAAAATAATCCATTTGGAAGCTTAGCAATATTGATACAATCTCAGAGAAAGAAAAGTAAGTGCAGAACTATTTTTCCACTCTTTTTTCAATCTGACAACTAATGCACTTAAACTTGGCCAAATGTGAAAATTCATGGTATTCACAGATTCTTAAGCAAAGATCAAAATGATTTATTTGGGTTTAATAGTTGGGGGATCACTTGTACAAGTAGCATGTTCTCCTAAGTCAATCTTCTATCACTTTGAAAATCTTATCACTGCTATCATATGATGCTACAACTTGCAAGAGTTAACTTCTTAGTCAACTAAGGACACTAGTATGATAATGGGATCTAACTAGTTTTTCCCTTTTGTTTTATGTCCATTCCAAGTTTGCTCCATGGAATTGGAATGTCATGTGTGCCATAACTGGCTCCTTCTTTTGATTACATAAATAGTCACTTACACGGTTTGCAGTCTTTAACAATATCTTTGATGTCTGAATTCATGGGATCTTTGTTTAAGTACTCCTGCTGCTTTCTTTCTGCCTGAAATCATCTTTATCCTATGTCCAGCCTTGCCAATACTCACATATTTCTCATAAGTGATGTGAATTTTGGCATCTTTCATAATGTTTGCAATTGACATAGGCAGTATGAAAAAAAACCCACACTTTTGTCAAAGCTACCTGATGTCTCATGTGGCATTACTCTAAAGCTGATGGCAAAATAGTATTGAGCCAGGCTCCTAACTCCTTTACCTAAAGTAAGGCACAAAAAAGGCGAAGTGCTGATCACTGAAGCACCGCTCACTCTGATTGATCATCAAACACTTCTTTGGTTTGTTTTCTGTTCATTCATGGCTCTGGAAGATCACTGGCGAGCAGCATGTTGGACAGAACACACCCAGCATGATGATGGGTTTATTCTACCCATGGATGATGAAAAAAAGATAACCTGAGTTACCATCCATACTATTATTATTATTTGTATTATTGTTTAATTATCTCTCACAGTTACGAGAAGCAACCTTATTTTTATTTATAGTGCTCTTCAAAGTCATTACTGAACCTTCCCAAATATTACAAAGAATTAAGTCAATTGTTTCAAAAGTAGCCACACATTTTGGGAGCCCAACTTTTATAATCTTTGGGGATGATTTTCAGATGCTGTGAGTTCTCTCAGTTCCCACTGCCATCAATGGGAGCTGTAAGTACTCAGCATCTCTTGAGATCAGGTCCAAGGTATCTAAGGTTGGGCACCAAAACTGGAGGTCACTTTCGCAAATCTGGTTATAAGCCTCACAGCAGCACTGTTAGACAGATATTATTAATTCCATTTTACAGGTAGGACAACTGAGGTACTTAAGGAACCTAAGGCACTTAAGTTACAGGACTTGTCCAAGGTCCCACAGAAAAGCTGTAGCATTGCTGGAAATAAGACCCAATGGGCATATTCCCCGTCCTTTCCTCAACTATAAGAGAATCCTTCTACATTTTACTCTGTATCTAATTTGTACTGGAGCAGTGTAAGAGGCAAGTCATCGATCAACAGGTTTGCAGGAGGCTGTTGTCTACCTTTCAGGTTAATTTCAAAGTGAATTTAAATAGAGAGGTGTCTCTTGGGGTACATCTGTATCTGACTGGGAGGCGTGATTCCCAATTGGCATAGACATATTTGCTTGAGCTAGCATGCTAAAAACAGCAGTATAGCCAGGGTAGCATGAGCAGTGGCTTGGGCTAGCCAACCGAGTACAAAGCCCGCCCCAGCTCTTCTGAGTATGTATTAGGGCAGCTAGCCCAAGCCGTCATCCATGATTCTTTTGCTATACTACTATTTTTCGTGCACTAGCTCGGGCAGATATGACTGTGCCAGCTGGGAATCACACCTCTCAGTTAAATGTAGATGTACCCTTATATTAACACAGGAAAGTGTAATAGGGCCACAGAAAAGAAAGAGAAATTATACACATAAATAACTAAATGCAAGAAACTAGTAACAAGAGGGAAAGAACTGAAACACATGCTCACTAGAAAAATTTAAGTATAAGATTTTACCAATAGCTTCTATAAAAGACTATACCCTGGCAAACTAATCTATGGTAGAGTTCTATACTCAGCCAAGTTTACTCTGTTTAATTTCTTGTTTAATTAATTTTCTCTACTTTCTTTTAAAAAAAAGCATGATCTTTGTTCTGTTCCTTCTTTTGAATCATCAACAAAATTGTTTCCTCGGGCAATGTATTTGCACAGATATAAATGGGGGCCTAATTTGGCCTGCTGAATCTTTATTACTGGGCAATGCTGAGAGAAAAAGAACGAATTCACATAACTCTGAGTTTATGTTGAGCTTTTAGTGCTGGCAAACCAAAAAAAACCCAGAACCCCAACATCTTTTTACTCATAAAATGAGCATATTTGACCTCAAGTCACAGATAGATGATAAACATAGAATCCCGCAATGCCATGTTTACGGTCATCTTCTGGAGTAGGGCTGCACTTCAAAGAATTGGTGTTTAACAAAAAAGATTTCTCTTTTTAGAAAATCTGATAATACGTGGCTTTGATTTCTGAACAAGAAATCAGGAACATCATTAGTAAATAAAGCATATTCAGCATGTCTACAGCAGAGTCTGCAGTGTTAAGTGGCTAACTAATTTTTCACTATTATAAATCTAAAGATTCAGACAGTACTTTGAACCAACAGCACTTGTACATCACTTACTTTTTCTGCAATGATAACATCTGCCCGAACAATAAATCTAAGAAGGCTGAAATCCTCAAGATACCATTACTTACAGCTGTGAGCTTCAGTGAAACTTAAACACTGAAACCTTACTTCTGCAGAATCCCTGTTGCTCTAAACGTAAAGGGGCTTGTTAAATTTCTCAGACAGACTCATCTTCCTGACTTTGTTTTTTAAAGGGTAACTGTTTCAAATAACTCCTGCTTATGCCACTTGGACTTTGCCACAGTGATATTACTTCCTTTAGTAAATAGTCTTCAGTGAGTTGGGGAGGGTAGAGGTTGGCAAATATGAGAAGACCAATGTGTTTATTGTTTCTATGTAGAAACCTCTCTCTCTACTTACATGGCCCCATCACTGAAGTATCTGAGAGCTTCACACTCATAAGTGCATTTATTCTCCATACCTCTGAGCTATGGAAACATGATCCACATTTTGTAGACAGGGATGTAGAGCCTAGAGAGAACTAAAGGCTAGATTTTGACTTTAAGCAAAGCCCTAAGCAAGGGGCGGTGCCTAGACCAAACCATGCCAGGAATAGCCCCAAAAGGCATTATGAATTTGACTTGCCTCTGAGTCACAATTTTTCATCTGCAAGTTATAAAATCTGTCTACCATGATTCACATTTTCAATATTCTAGATGCAAAGACAGGAAGATGGTACTCTGGCATTTCTACAATAGCAGAGTTACTGTAGTTTGCCTTGCTTGAAAAGTGCAACTTTAACTCTGCATTTCCTGGTTTCTATAATTGGATTTCTTTTTTTAGATAACTTTCCTAAAAGCAATACATACTTCCAACCTTAACTCTGCTCTTTTTTTCTGCTGGAATTTTCTTAAGTTTTAAACACTTAACATGGAAACTTAAAGGGCCTTCCCCAGCCTTCTGTCAGTGACTCCTCTTCATCCCAAGTTCTATGTCCATCAGGAAGACACCCATTTCTTCCCTATGTCCTATACCCCCCTAACCCTATCCTTTCATCAACTCTAGCCAGAGACCCATTCCCCTTCAAGTCCTCTTGGAACTCATAGCCCTTATCTTCCAGAGACTTGTCCTCTCCTTCACTTCTCCCTCCCCCTTAACCAAATGATTGTCCCAGGTCACAATTACGCTGTGCCTGAGATCGAACGATGGGACAGGATGCAGCTAAATTTAGGCTCTTATTTTACTAAGCTACATAAACTCAGCACTTTGTTGAGTTGCGGACCATTATCAGTTGTCATTGTCAGGAATGCCATAATGACTAAACTACTTCTAGCAACATTACTGAATGGTAGCAGTTGCTGTGTTCATAAGAAAAACGGACTTCTCTAGAATCAGAATCAGCTGTTAGTAACTAGTTTTTACCTTTTGTTTTAAGTCCATTCCGAGTTTTCTCCATGGGATTGGAATTTCATGTGTGCCATAACTAGCTCCTTCTCTTGATTACATAAATATTCACTTACATGGTTTGCAGGCTTTAACAATATCTTTGATGTCTGAATTCATGCGTGGAACAAACATATCTCTAGCTTTGCAATGACAGGCTTCTGCAGTCTGCTAACTAGAGTGGATTCTTGCCAACATCTCAGGTCTTATAACTTAGAGTGTATTAGTTCTGGGTCCTATCCACAGGATTCCTTTTGCCATATTAATTTTCTCCCATTATGCCTAGTATTTGCTAATTCAATCTGTAACTTCATCCTTTATATCTGGCCATCATGCTACATCACTTGCTTTCAGTTCCTGTAGTATCTCATCTTGCTGGATAGGTCTTTGAATC